GGTGTCTTGCTCAAGGACACCACGACATGTGGGTATGGCGGGGAGTCGAACCTAAGACTTTCAGGTCCTAAGCCGGCTGCTCTACCACTACACCACAGCCGAAAAAGGTTCTAATAGAGATGAACCTTTTTTTTTTTTTTTTACTTCATATCAAACTCAAAGCTCTACAGAAGAGAATAAGGAAAGCAACGTCTCCAGAAGGTGGATTTACCAGCTGTCAGCAGCCGGAGCGTGACGTCCAGCAGTCTGATCTCCTGCCTCGTGTTTTCAATTTCACAGCTTCTGATGGCAGCTTAGAGGCAGGTGACTCTCTGAGGTGCCACCATGACAGCTGTGACGAACACTTCAGCTCAGTCAACCTGCAGCCGCTGTGAAAACACACCGCTTAAAGGTTAAACCTCACAAATAAACACCGAGCGTCCTGCTGAACGGGAGCTTTTAATGGAGATTATTAAAATATTAAAACATCAGAGCTGCTTAGAAATACAACTCAGATTATTAACGCAGTTTATTTCTTGTCTTCCTTAGTTTCAGCTGTAAGAGTTGGTGAAGACGACACAACGAACAGGTAAGATCAGCAGCGCTGTTTGTGTAAACGAGCTGGAGCCAGAAGAGCTCAACAACCAAACGTCCTGAGCACAAATATGTTTTTCTGACTGCAGACGAATGACTCAACCTGCAGCATTCCACTCAAACTGGTTCCACACAACCTGTAGAGTACAGGTAAACAGCAGGCTGCTGGTACCGGTCCTCTGCCAGGTGAGCCGGTCACAACCAACCAGGAGAGCTGCAGAGGTTCAAAACAGGTGTAAACGTTCCCAAACAACCTGATTTATATAAACACAATGGTTTTTGGTAATTAGCGAGATTTTTAGGTTTCCAGTAAAAAAAGGGAATGAAAGGCAGAAATTATCAACTATTTAGGAATAAAAAAGCACAAGTTGCATTTTTTTTACGTCTGTTTTAAGTATTTCAGTTAATCGCCTAAATTTTAAATTAAATCTTGTTGACATGATTAAATAAATGAACATAAWGACCCATCTACATGTCAGATTTTCAGTTGGAACTCAAAACAAAAATCACGAGATTTAAGCACAAATTTCCATTAATTAATAAGAAAAAGGCGACGTTATTTAAAACGCACTCAGAGCACGTGTTCAGGACGACTCTSAGCTACTACCACRCCGACTTTTACCTCCACGTYTATAAAACGGACCGAGTCAGAACCAAGTCTGTGTTTGCTAAGCTAACGTAGCCGCGGTGGCCATCTTGAATCAAGTGTTGTAGATGAACGTCTGAGGACGGCTTTGAGTTTCTTTAAAATCCTCCCAGTGTTCCGGTGAGATATTTTGCTAACAGATTGTCGGTCACCTATCGTGGCGCCAGGTGAGGTTCCTCAGGTAGATTTAGCCCGTTGCGGTTTACCAAGACCTGAAATGTCGACTATTTGAGGACAGAAACCTGTAAATAGGGAAGACTTGGATCACATGTCAAACTGAAGGCCCACGGGTCAAATGTGGTCCGCAGGTGACATCCGTCAGGTCCACCAATGTTGTAAATTTAAACTGGAATTTCATTCCAGTGGGAATTATCAGTTGGATAGTGGGAGATTTCAAAATTCACGACACGGTGAGTAAAACTCTCTTACTTTTCCTTTTAATAGTATTTCCGTATTATTTATTTCACATTTAGTCACCACTTTTCAGTGTTGAAACACTGTTTCTATGCAAGAAATACCACATAGAGCACAGTTAGTGTTCGTTAGTGTCAGCTTATGAGAAATAAGAAATAAATTAGCAGTAAAAATTGTTTTTGAAAGCAATCAAAAGCATTTTTTTAATAATGGAGCCAAAACAACCCAGAGAATTTACAGATGATATTTCTGAAAGTTTGGCTTCTAAAAAACACAAAAACAGAAGTGCTTATTCAGYTAAAACATGATGCTTTGGAAATAAAAACGGGTCAGAAACTCAACCAAAGCAACTTTTTCTCTCCAGAGATTCACGTCTTTGCAAATAGAATAAAAAATAAACACTCCTCAGCTTCCTGTTAGCAAAATATCAGAGGCAAACGGTCAGCAGTTATGTAGATCAGACACTTCAAATCTGTTTTATCAACACGTGCTGTGTTTAAATRACCTTTGGAGCCAAAGATAACAACATTTCCTGCAAACATGACCATTTTCAAATGACGGGGGTTTTCAGATCAGTGTTAATTTACACAGAATTAATGTGAAGAAACGTTATTAAACCTTCAAAAACACAAACTGAGCTTCAACATGTTGAGTCCAGATGAGACAACACTTCACTCAAAACAAGTTTGACCACCAGATTCAGAAATATTGACAAAAAAAACATTTAAAAGCTTTAAATCTGGATAAACTCCTAACTGTTGAGGAATAAAAGTGTCTTGGTTGTGAATATTACATATAACAGCTGGTAAAAACGATACAAAAACACAGAAAAAGGTTGTTTAACTCACCTGTGAGCTGCTAACCTCCGCGTGCAAACGTGGATTTTGATCAATATTCCCGCGAAATGAGATCAAAAAAATGAAACTAAAGCCGCTCCTCTGCGTCGCCGGTTCCTCCCAAATTTACATCCCGGTGTGGAGRAGAAGCGCTCCGGCTCCGGCAGACTGAACTCTTCAAGTTTTACTTCAGTTTCTTCCYGGTGAAAAAAAGAAAGAACCGGGGAGGAGAAATAGAAACGAGGCGCTGAGATTTCTTCTTCCTCCCAAACACGATTCAACTTCACGCGCTCAGCTGTGATCACCGGACAACGAACGAAAATAGGCGCCGTTCCGGTATCCGTCCCCGTCCAGCAGCTGGTTCTACTTTCTGTTGGTTCTAAAGAGACCGGGAGTATCAGGGAGGAAGGCTTCTCCCCCTCCTCCGCCTCCTCCCTTCACCCTCCTCCCGCCGCTAAACTCCCTGAGAACGCTAGGAAAAAGCTTTGTCATGCTAGCGGAAGTTAGCACGGGAAGTYGGGATGGAGTACTTTCAAAGTAAAAGACATGTGCGGACCACAGTACATACATTTTCTTATACACACACATATATATAT